TAACCTGTGATAAACTCATGTTACCTGTCTTAAGGCAGCAGACATATATTTTGTGTTTCTTACCTCTACATGTTGTTATGCTTGAAAATCGTGAAACAAATTGGCTAAGGATGACATAAAGCTTATAGACACGGACAAGTCACTACTGACATGGACTCTCTCTAACACACATTCATTCACTGCCCCCAAAGCAAGTCTGCACTCGGGTTTTCTGGGACTCAGAGCCAAAGGCATGTCAATATCCAATAAATAAAACCTGGTATATAATCTACAATACAAAACACAGCCTTTCCACTTTTTAGCTAATCTTTGTGACTATCCTTAGAACTGTAGAGAGCGGGCTCAGGTTGTATTTAGTAAATTTACTTGTAGTTTTTTCCAAGCCTTTGAAAGCTAGTCAAGAAATCATGAATATGATAGTTTTGGCAGTGACTACTTTCATTTTTAGAGGAATCTTGGGTTTTAAAAAAGTTGATCGCAACAGTTCCCAACTCTGCTCGGTTTGCCCAGATAGTTCCTCCAACGGCAGAACTCCTTTTCTTCAAGCAAACCTCAGGGCAAGCTCCAGCACTACACATTTTCCTGCTGCCCTCTTCTCATGCTTTACTTTTGTTACTAGGGCTTAATCCACACTTTTCACCTATTCTATTTTGCTGATTTATTACTGCCTCAGTTACTCTTCTCTCTTGCTGGGACAAAATATCTGGCACCCAAAATAGGAAAGGTTAATTTAGCTCATAGTTTGTGGCAATTTCAGTCCACACTCAGGTGGCTCCAAGGCAGAGTGGCACATGGCAGAGGGCAGCAGTTCTTGGCACCGGAAAACAGTGAGAGCAAAAAGGCAAGCACAGCAGAGGCGGCGGCGGTAGATGCAGCAGAGGCGGCAAAGAGCAAGCCTTTCTCCCTTCCTCTGGTTGTACAGGCTACCTGCCCTAGGGGGGTGTAGCACTCACATCCATAACTCCCACATTGGGTCATGAATTAAACTCTAGAAGTCTGCCCCATGACTTCTTGAGGCTTAGGAGGGACTAGACCCAAACCATTAACAGTTACAAATTAAAGCAAAAAAGATGTAAGTGATTAATTCACGTTTTTGCATTACACTAAAGAAAAATCAACAACATTTTTGTTTTTAAATACAATTCACTTGGGCTGGGGATATAGCTCAGCAGTCTAGGCACCTGCCTGGCAAGTGCAAGGACCCAGGTTTGATCTCCAGTACCACACACTGTGCTGGCCCTAGAACCCTCAGTGTACCATGCTGGCCACTAAAACTGGGCCTGGTGGCATATGCCTGTAATCCCAGCACTGGGGAGGCTGAGATAGGTGGATTACTATGAGTATAAACTGCATAGTGAGACCCTGTATCCAATAAATAAATAAAAAGTTCATTTAAATATAATTCAACTATTCATTTAATATCTGTGTTCTGTTAAAGAACCAATTAATGGTTACCTTTACCTAAATGAATTAAGGACTAAAAGCTACTCTTGTATTGATCAATACGATTCAGCCAAGCATTTGGATTTTTACTTTCAACACTTTCTAGGAAAATAAAAGTTGAACCACTACTAGTGCCTGTCCCTTCCTCCCTTCCTCCCTTCCTTCCTTCTCTTTCTTTCCCTCACGGGTTATCAAGGACAACAAGCTATCAAGTCTGTAATACTGGGGCTGGAGAGATGGCTCAGTGGTCTAAAGCAGCTACTTGGAACAAGCTTGGCAAAGCACAAGGACCGTGGTTCGATCCTTCAGCACCACATGCCAGCCAGCCTCGCCCCCTGGTGGGCTGAGCTGGCCACACACACATACACAATAAATAAATGTAATAAATAAATAAATAATTAAAAAAAAAAAAAAGTCTGTAATACTCCTGATGTGATTGCCTTGTGGGTGAAGGAAGAGGAACTGGTTCTACAGTGGCGGCTGGGTGGCGAGATGTGGGGTCTTACAAGGGTTGAACCTAGTTCTTAAATGGAACAGCCACACTTACCACCTCTTTTTCTGTGATGATATGAGAAACCTAGCCAACCCTTTCTGATAACAACAGGCTGTAGAAAAGCTTTTCCCTGAGGGAAGGAATGCTAGACCATGACAGGACTGAACAACAGGTGTCCTTTTCACCTCTTCCATAATCTCAATGGCTGTCTCCTTTTTAAAAATGCCAGGTAAGGCTGGCCCAATAGCTCAGCGTACTGAAGTGCCTGCTTAGGCAGAGCACAGTGACTGGGGTTCGATACCCAGTGGGCCCTGCCCCTGTGGCATGCTGAATGAGACTAGGCGTGGTGGCGTGCACCTGTAATCCCAGCACTTGGGAGGCTGAAAACAGGTGGATCACTTCGAGCCCAATCTATGTAGTGAGACCCTATCCACCCTGTACTAAATACACTAAAAAAAAAAAAAAAAGAAAAAAAGAAAATCTCTACAAAGAATTATACTAAATGACAACAGAGACATGTAACACAGCCCTTAGCATAAACAGGAAAAAAGAGAACTGACACAAGTAGCACGAGCACCACACAAATACAGTCTGTGCTCTCATCTGTACTTAAAAGGTAAAAGTATGAAGGGGACCATACACAGACGCACAGCTGCTTTTCTAAAGTGCTACGTCACTTGACCACAGCTATAAATTAGAGGTCCCAAAACTGTCCAAAGACTGACTTTTGACATCTATCACCAGCAACGAGGCGGTCTACCTTCTTAATGACACAGATACACAAGTATACACACACACACACACACACAAACACACACACACACTTAGGGAGAGACCTGGCCTATCTGCGCTCGTCACACTGACACCGTTTCTTGCCCCAAGCAGTCATCTTGATTTGGAAACCAGCCGGTGGTTTCTTTGCTCCTTCCACTCACACTCACGCCCTGAGCCTGCTGCGCAGCTTACAGGAGTCACTGAAGCGTCGTCCTCCTCATCTCTGCTGCTGTATGCATGGGGGCCGAGGGTGGGGATGAGCTCCGAGGGCCCCGACGTCTCCTTCAAGTGCTGCAGGTAGTCATAGTCATCATCAAAAAACACTCCATACTTCCTCTGCTCTGCGCGCCTTTCTTCGTCATTTACCTTGGGTTAGAAGCGAAATGGAATCAGTGCCCTTCCACAAATAAGGCCTGGGAATTGTACAGTGAGAACAACGTTCACAGCAGGAGGCAGATGACACAGGAGAACAATGAGACAAAGAGTCTTGACAAAATCAGAGCACCACATAAAATGAAAATTGAATAAAAACTAGCCAGGTATTGTGGCAGAAGCCTGAAGTCCGAGAACCTGGGAAGCTGGAAGGAGGATCATTTGAGCTCACAAGTTTGAGACCGACGTGGACAACACAGTGAGATCTTATCTCAAAAAGAAATAAAAGCTTTCCCTTTAGGAACAAAAGCAATTCCTCCTACCAGACATCTCTCTGCAATAATTCAAGTTCAAAATTAACTTGCACTAGCATGTGTTTGGAAGATTAGAAGACTTGCGGGCTGTGAAAGGGAAGCATGCTTTTGTGTTCAGAAGAAGATTCAATGCACAAGAAGACTGGTGTTACTGAAAGGTAAATGCAGCTGATGTCCTCCATCACTTTCTTCTTTACTATCCACTTGGGGAGGACTGTGAATTGAATAAACTCAGGACCTGGTACTTCCCAGGCAGGTGCGTTGCCACTGAGCTGTATTCCTGGCCCTTATTTTATCCACTTTAACAGGTGAAATCAATCTTTACAAAGTTCCCTGGCATTTTCTAAAGCCCATCTGTAAGTGCAGATGTTTTGTATTTCATGAGATGAACTATCAGGGGGCACAATGCAAGTCTAAGAAGAGTTTATGAAATGGCAGGATTTTAGGGAAAGCAGAACACATGGTTGTTCCCCAAGTAACATCACGCAACATCGTAGCCAGTGGTTCCCTGAATATGTACCATTATTCCACCAGATGCATTCATTTAAAAGTCTCACATAAAGAAGCTTTATCCTCCCAATCAAAACACACATGCACAGTATACATCAGCCCATGTACTAAAATGTGAGTCATGGAGCATCCCCTAACCTTTATTCCCCGTTATCTCAGAATAACACCTAGCTAACAATTTAAAACTACTACTAAATTTAGTTTAAAGCTTACCTAAAAGGTACGAATAATAAAGCGCTAGGGAGTATGCCTTACTGTATACAGCATATCCCGGGTCTGATCCTAAGCATTAAAAAAACAAACAAAAAACCAAAACAAAACCTACCAAGAGTTCAGCTGCAAAGCTAAGAACAGAACTTACTTTCTGTGTGGGCAACAGAACCCTCTGGGGCGCAGTTTCATCGGCTGCTAAAGGATCTCGCTGGCTCCGGTGGACCAGGTGGAAAGACACAGCTTTCTTCTTCTCTATAAAAGGCTTTTTCTTCCTGTGAGGCTTTAAAGGAAAGGGACCAGAACAAGTCATTAAAACAGAACCAGAGTTTATTGGGCAATGCCACAGTTCTCACATGCACCTTTAACATATCAAGCGAAGAGTCCACAGACTCCCCAAATCTACAAGTCCACGGCAGACAACACAGGCTGCGCTAAAAATCCTCACTTACCCTTCTCTAGGCAAACCTAAATTTGACCCCGATACCGCCCAGACTTTTACGGAGCTGGGAACACAGCAGTGAGGAGGAGGTCAGGGAGGGTCTTTGTTCTTGGCGAGCAAATCACAAAGACTATTGTAGGAAAAAGAAATTAAACACAACGATGTACAAGTGACTTGAAGAGTTTCTTTAGCCTGGCTGCCCTGGGAAGGTCCCTAACTGGGACCAGAAAGACCAGGAGCCTGCCACAAGGCACTCGAGTGGACAGCTCGGACAGGTTCAACCTTTCATCTATCAACGAGTAAGTAAAGCCACGAGAGGACTAGCTACTCTCTGTTCCCGTCCCTATCATTTCGCTCCAACAAACCAGCAGAGCGGTCTCACTTTTGGCCCGACCTTATTCTCGCACAAACTGTTTCCCAAAGCAGAGAGGCAGACGAGCGCGGCTCAACGCCGGCAATGACCGGCCAAGCCCGTGCTGGAGCGCTGGTGCCGGCGTCACAGGCTGGAGTTCAGCGGAGCCCCGCGGAGCTGCAGGCCTCTGAGGGCGCAGGGGAGGCCACTCCTCCGGCCCAGAGGAGGGTGATGAGGCGCCACAGTGGAAGCCAGCGGCATAAGCCAGCCACGGACATTACCGGGTCCGGTCCCATCTCTGCAAAACATCAGCTCCCCGCGGCAGAAGCACCCCACGCTTGCTCACCATGCTGCTGCCGAGCGGCGCTCAGCCACACGAGGAGCGGCGAGTCCTCCCTGCAAACCCCGGGGAGCCCCGCCGCGTCCCTAGGCCTCTCTGCACGTGCGGCCGCCAGTTCCGGGCTGTACGTCACGCAGCAGCCCTTGAAAACCGACCAATCCCGGGGAAACAGCCGAGCTGAGACTGGAAGTGACGTCAGTACTCTAGTCTCAAAGATCGCGAGAACCACTGGAAGGCGGGGCGGGGGGGTGCCTTGGGAACTGAAGTTTTCTACCCGGAAGTGAGTCGCTGGGGCCCGAACGGAGTGTTGCTGCTGCTTGTGGACCAGCTTCAGCGTTCTTCCCCGAGATCGGGGACTAACGTTAACCTCTCCATTGACTGCTATTTCTCACCTATCCTCAACTCTAAACCAAAACCTCTGTGCAGGTACGCAGAAAGGAGGCGGTCCCTCTTCGGATCCCCGATATTTGGCTTGCTTGGGGGAAGAGCGGAGCCAGTGGGCTACTGCACACTTGGCCATTCTTCACGTTCTCGTCTTTAAAGAGCTGAATTCCTGAGTCCATTAGCGAACCATCCCTAGAGTGCTCACTGCAGGCGCGTTTGGAGTAATAAGGTGCATTCAGAATCCGTGTTGGCATGCACTATCCGAGGTAGAAACTAGTAATTTTCTTCCACATCTTCCCTTGCGTTTCATGATAGTTTAAGGAAGTAGGCGCCAAGTGTACCTTCCTAGGAAGACTCGTAGCAGGTGCTGGAGTAGCACAGCTTTTCTGAGGGAAAAAAATGATAAAAGCAACATTTTGCCAGTAGACTTAGTCTCGCATTTGTGTTTCCCCATCCAAATTTCTGGTGTCTTCTCAATGTCTGAATTCTCTTGGAATGCGTCTATAAATTATGTGTAGCATATTACAGGTCTTTGTGAGATATTCTTTTCATGCAGTAAAAATTATAGAAATGATTTCGTTGAAGACTGCACACCTTGTCTGGTGATAAACGCTTTATACTTTTATGTGCCAAAGATGTATTACTATTTGTTATGTGGTAATAAGATCCACAAAGACATTTTCTGTATCAATGTGTTATATTTACTGTTGCACCCAGTGCCCGAAAAATACATTTAAGTGAATAAATGATTATTACCTCATTTTTTCCCTTCCCACAACACAGTGAAAGAGCTGTTACCTTCATCCCCCTGCAAGTAAAACTGAAGCATTAAAAAAAAAAAAAAAAAAATCTAAGTGATTTTCTTACAGTCACATGCTTACCAAATGGCAGCTCAGGAATTTAAGCCTCGTGAGTTTGAGTACAGCTTGACCACCTAACAAAACTGCTTTTTTTTTTTTTCTTTTTGTGTAATATTAAACTTATTTTGTTTGTTAGTCTCATACAAACACTGAACACCCTGTACTACACTTTGTGTCCAGCCATATCATTTGTGTTTGATCACAAGCCCATGAAGAACAGTTACGTAACACGAAGTCAGTCTCACAGGTAAGAGTCTGAGAATTTGGAGAATTGCAGTGACCTACCCAAGGTCTCTGTGAGTGGAAAAGCTACAAGTGGAGCGTAAGTGGCTGCTTTAGGAAGGTAGTCCTCTTACCTGAATTTTGCATGGCCTCTTGAAGGCAGTCAGCCAGCGCATTTTTGTACTACCTTCTAAATAGCCGAATGTGTCACTGCTTTACTCATTTTATTGCCTTTATCATTTTCAACACTGATCGGCTCACTTTCCTGTGCAATGTCCATCTTCTGGCTTTAGGATAAAGTTAAACTCTTGTACTGACGTGTTATGTGTGTGTACCAACTCCCTACAAAGAATGTGATCATTATGGAATGCAAACATGTACTAATAAAAATAAAAGCTAAAAAAAGAAACTTTATATCATATGTTCCTCAGCCATCACTTGACGTCACGTTCCGTTTCACCAAATACCACTCATGAGCCAACCCTGTAAAACTGTTTGCAGCTTCCAGATGTACCTGAGAGAAGTGTGCTCTCTGCGGATCTCCAGGACTTTTCAAGTCTTAGTGTTTATCTGTTCCCCTCAGCTGGACCCTAGACTTAAATTGCCAGAAAAGGAGTAATATTTCACAAAAGGATGGCCCCAAGCCATCCAGGGAGGTGGTCAGTTGGGATACCAAAGAAATAGGGAGCAAATGCCAGTGTGATCAGTCCAAAGCATTTATTAAGAGAATTTGCAGTATGCTTGAGTGAATAGTGAGAAAAGTGTTCTACCTGGGTATGCTCACAACGAGGAAGGTAGGCTATGGAGAGTTACGGTGTGTATCTAGATGTTCCCCAGAGCCTCTGTTATAGTTTGTGTCTAGATGTCTCCCCAAAGCGTCATGTAGTCAGCTTCTAGAGTTTGTCATTGATTCATGGTCGGATGTTGGGATTATGGGTGTGAGCGCTACACCTGCCCTGGGCTGGGTAGGTTGCGTGCTAGAGAAGGGAGGGAAAAAGGCTTGCTTTTTCTGCCGCTCCTCCCTTTTTCTTCCTGCTGCCTTTGTTGTCTTCCCCCATCATGATCTGTTGTCCTGCCATGTGCCACTCTGCCTTAGAGCCAGCTGAGTATGGACTGAAACCTCCACAAACAGTGTGTGTGAAACCAGGGATTGAATTCAGGCCCTTGCGCTTGCCAGGGAAGCACTTATGCCACTGAGCCATCTCCCCAGTCCATTCCTTCATTCTGGGTGTCAGGTATTTTGTCTCTGCAAGGAGAGAAAAGTAACAAAGACTGCCTCCTACACCCATAGGTGGGGCTTTTGCAAGCTGACTGGATCATGGATGTGTGCTGCTGGGTAAGTCTGCTGCTGGATTTAGAGCTGGGCGTGAACCTTGGGAAGTCAGGCCTGATGGGAAGAGGTGGGTAGCTGGATGTGGCCTGGGAGGAGACTATATCCTTCTTCCCCTCATGGACGTTCCCTGACTGCCAGGCTGGGGACTGTCTCAGCTGCCATGCCACCTTGCCCTTGGAAACCCGCCCACTGTGGACAGAAGCCTCTAGCAAGTGTGCCAAAATAACCCTCTCCTCTAACTTGTGGGTGCCAGGTACTTTGTCCCAGCAATGAGAAGGTAAGACTGGCATTTGTACGTGGGTTTAAGAGAGCTAGCTTAGGCTGGGGCTAATGTCTATGTGTTTAGCACACATTTGGATCTTTTAGTATCTTAGGCAACAAGCTCCACAGCTTTATCAGTTCCTGGGAGTGTTCAAGTTCCGGGCTTGGGTTCAAGCCTACAAGGGGGAGATAAAGCCCATGCAGCTGGCCAGATCGCAGGCAGCCAAGGTATTCCGTGTTTCTGTCAACACCTCTCTCTCAAAAAAAAAGAGAAATCCCTCCAAAAAACCACTCCCCTTCCCAAATCCCACTAACAAATAATACCAAGAAGCCTACAGACATGATTTTGCATCCTGTTTTAATATGAAAAAATTGTCTCCTAAGAATATCTATAAATATGTAATGATATTAAATATAAATCCAAATCATACTTATTTGTATGCTGTAATTAATGGCATATATTTTAAAGGGATTAAAAAGCAAGTCCAGTTTCATGTATGCCTTGCAAAGCGTCCTCCATAGGAAGCTAGCTCAGCCACTGGGACTGCCATCTGGGCTCCCCTAGTATTCTGCTTGGGGTTTTGTGCTGAAGGAACTACACATCAGTCACGCTCAAGGATTCCCGAGCACCAGGAAAGTAATACAAAAAAGTGGAGAAAAATTGCTTGGGGAAAGCCAAACTAGCCTCCGAAGCAGTAACAAACAATTAAAAATCCATTAGGAAGAAATTAATGGGAGAAAAGTACAAACCATTCAGACCAAGGACTACTGCGACGCTGTCAAGAAGACAGACCAACCACTTAGGAAAAAAAAGCAGGCTGCGGAATGCCACGGTAGATGACATTTTTTGGTTAATAAGTTGTCAAAAAAAAATTCACACAGAAATATTTTACATAGAAATGTTTTCACTAACGTTCAGCCTAAGAAAATGTCGGGGAGCCTCTCATCACACTGCCAGTGGTGGCTGACCCTGAGGAGCAGGGCGAGGTTGCAGGAAGCTTTTAGCGTCTCATGCAGATCTTTCTTGGGCATTCGTGTGGGTACAGGATCTGAAGTAGTTGTCCCTCTGTGTCTGCAGATCAGTTCCAGGAACACCTCCTCCCCGGGGGGCCGGTTCTCTTATAAAGATGGTGTCAACACTTTTGCATAACTTGTGCACACGTTGCTGGACACCGTACGGCACCGCTAGAGGACTTACGATACTTAACATGAAGGCTTTTTCTCACCCTTGTAAGCTGTACTCTACTACTTTGGAAGAATAAAGAGAGTCTGTATGTCTTGTATAGACACAGTTCTTAAAAAAATTTCTGACCTGTGTTGGTTGAACTCTTTAAAGCAGAAGGCTTGGGTGTAGAGGGCTGACTGTATTACACTTGGTGTATATAAGAAGTAAAGGTATTTGTGACCATTAATCCTATCATGTCAGCCACACTGTATCAAGAAACTCGTAGCGGATTATTAATGTGTGTGTCTGGCTGTGCCTGGGAGGCACGGCCTGGGGCATGCTATCTGGTCCTTCACTGTCTCTCCTCCTTGTTTTCCTCTCCTATCGCAGGTTAGGGTTCTTTGCACTTGGCAGCTAGTAAGATGAACCACTGTCCCAATACAATACAAACTGGAGCAAAGGGGCTTCCCAATTATTTTATTGAGGTAATGTTTCCCAATTTTATACACATATGCATTTATATATACTTAGGAAAGCTAAACAATGTTCTAAGGCACTTGGAATTGTGCACAGCAGTAGCTTTTACTATAGTATCCCACGAGATAGAGCATAAGTTTACCTTTTAAATAACACAAACACCAATATGGGATAAAAAAGATAATACACAGTCTTTCTTTCAGGTTACAATAGTGGAGTACATATATATATGTGTGTATACTTGTAGATATTTATATCCACATTCTATAATACAGTACACATTCAGAACAACAACAAAAAATAGCAACTGTTGTGTTAATCAGTGTATAGTTCCAGTTATTTACAATCACAGATATTATACCTGTGTAATACGCAGGCCTAGACCACGCACTGGAAGATAGGAGTCTTTCCGCTAGTCTCACAACGATCACAGTTTACCATTCTTAGCACTTTAACTGAAGCTGGAAGATCAAAAAAAAAAAAAAAAAATGCAGATAGTCCATTACTTAAAGATCACGGTCACAGAGAAAAATGGGACTCATTTAAATTGAGTAGTCATTTAACTGGTGAAAGTGGTGTAGAATGTTCCAGATACATGGGCGAAGTTCTAAGCCACAAAACATACTAAGAAGAAACAAAACGAACATCAATAAAAATTAGTGCCCATATTTTACATGATGAAAGTACCTTGCCCTTGACTCGTTCCGGTGTTTCCAAGTGAGTGCTAGCTGGCGTCGCAGCGGCAGCTTCCCATGTTGGAGACGGCCTCAGCCACAGTTAAAAATACGGTCAAGGTACAAGAAAAGCATTGAGTAAAGGAAAAGTCCCTTGGATTGGCAAGTGGCACAAAAATTACTGGCATTTTAATACACCATAAAATTGACCTGAGGGTTGAGTGCCATTCTGTCTCATTCACTCCTTTCAATTCCTCTTGTAAAAAACAAATTGCTATTAAAAAAGATAATCCTTAAGCACCATCTATGAATTTACAGTATAACTACCTTTATCAACTCTGAGTTGTTCTATATCAAAAATTTGTTTGGAATTTTAATATTTAAAAAATCATAGTTGCTCAATTAATTCTATTCTCCTAGTCACAATTCACCCAAGTAATTATTTTGTTTTCAAGATAGGGTCTTGCTATGTAGTGCAGGCTGGCCTTAAACTCACTGTGTAGCCCAGGCTGGCCTCAGAGTCACATATATCCTCCTGTCTCAGCCTCCTGAGTGCTGGGATTATAGGCATATGCCACTATGCCTGGCTCCTAATAATTTTAAGACATATTCACCATTCAGTTTTGCTGATAAAAAGTGACAAAGAGAATAAATGTTTCTGTATTATGAGGACATTTAATAGTGTTTCACTAGGTAAAACTCATCGTGTGACCAGCAATGCAGTATGATATGCGTGCAATTCACATTAATCCACATTTCCATCATAATGCAGTTTTCATAAAGTTTATTAAGGGTTGAACTGCAAGACTATGTATAGGAGAATTCAAGCTTCTGCTTTTGGATGAAATGCTTCCTTCATAGGAGAAACAAGAGATCCTCTTGGAGCTCACAGGCTGCAGTGTTACCTGGCAAAGTCTAATAGTGATTGCCAAAGACCACCAGCTCTGTTTACGTGGACTGTTGAGATACAAACACTGTCACTGGGTTTGCATTTAACCCTTGCGGCAATCTTTATGACATTGACAAGCACTAGGACCAGCAGTGTAGTGCTGGGGCAAAATTGTAAGAGGGAGAAAAAATAAAGCTTGCTTCATGTAAAATCTCTTCTTTCAGTACTAGATAGAGAGAGCAGGCCAAGTCACTGTGCCTGCTGTAATTCCCGTAAGTGCCCTGCTGCTGCTTCCCTAGAGATCTGGCAAAATAAAGCTGCACCAAAGCAGAAAGCCTGAAAAAGGAAGGGGGCCAAAGAAAAGTGTGGCCACAGAAACAATGTTTTGGGACAGGTCCTTTTTCCTGTGTGTCATAGAATTGTGACAGACAGTGGTATTCAGGGGAAGAGGCGGCCACCTCCTGGGCAGTGCCTGTGAGTACGGGAAGGCTTTCTCCTTTTGGTCGTCAGTGACTGCGAATGCCACTGGCCCGTAGTCAGTCACAGCCTGCGATATTAAGCACCCTGTGATGCGTGGGATGGTCCTGTACAATGAAAAATTGCCCTCACCCAAATGCCAACAGCGCCCCACTGAGAAACGCTGAGATTAGATGCTGAGCGCGCATGTGCAGCTGGGCTAGCAACGCCACAGCTAAATGACATTTTAATCTTTGTGCAGTGAATCCTAACCCACCTAAAAAAAAAAGGAGGGGGGGATGCTTTTCTAGATGGCTACATTAGGTGGGAATAGCTGCCACGAGACTGTTTCTTTATCAGAAATCTTAAAATGAAAACAATGGGATTTCTTAGTCTGGCATGACTCAGACGTCAAGAAAAATGCAGGTAGGCTGATTTTAGCTTCTCTTGACACAGCCTAATGGTGGTTTACATTGTCATACAGAATTTAGGTTCAGTGATTTCAAAAGGTCACTGGAAAGTGACAGCGAGAATGGCTGGGTGGCTTTCCGCCTTTGCTCCCACCACCATCCAGCCCTGCCTAAATCTCCCCGGCCCATCACAGAGCCTCATGTTCTCCTTAAACTTGGGTTTTGCGCTCTGGGGACACGCTTACTTTCCAAGACACGTTCGCCTCCATGGGTGGTTACCTTTGTCACTGCTTTCTCCTCTAGAACATATTTGAACTCCGGAAGTTCCCTCTGCTCTGTCATGTAAGACAATAGTGTATCCCACAGGGCAGTAGAGGGCAAATACTAAGAAAGATGGATCATGTTGAGCCGCCAGAGGGCCATGTCATAGACAAACTGCATCTGAAAGGTTTTTCAGTGCTCACAACATATTCTAATGAAGTGAAGAGATCAACGGCCTCACAATAGATGCTTTTACTATGAAGAACAGGCTTAAGATACTTGGGATTCAGAATGTTTGAGCAGTTCTGGCATGCTGACAAAAATGACATGTTCCTATATTTTATGTTAGCTTAGGTCGATCTGCCCTACAGTGAGGAAAATTTCTTACTCTGAAATATGCTGCTAGGACCGCTTAAAAATAGTAAGACTGGTAAAACTTTGGAGCCAGAGGGGAGAATAGCAAAGTTTTCACCTTGTAAGTATGAATGTGGTAGACAAGAATAGCTTTTTGTGTTGTATTACATAACTTTTTCTGAGAATTATCAAGTGTGTGTGTGTGTGTGTGTGTGTGTGGTACTAGAGATTGAACTTGGGACCTTGTGCTTGCCAGGCAGGTGCTTATGCCACTGAGCCATATCCCAGCTCTGTAATTTTTAAAAGTTGTATTTGCCTAACCGCAGCAAGTACAAATAAAATGTCCGTTATGTGTGGACATGGCTCATAGCAGGACATGTAGTGTTCAGGCAGGTTTGTTTCTCTTTTAAGTGTAAGCTACTATATTTTTGTTTTAAATCCAACTCAGTACCAAATCAGTTGTAGGACACAAAATCTAACTTACGGATTTTAAGGATACACAACTTCTCTTCAATATTTGGTGATTTTTGAAGGATGTAGTTGTCTTTCTATTCCCTTAAATATATTTTCACTTAAATTTCATAGTTTTTAGTGACATTAGAGGAATGTAAATAACTACTCATTCCACCATTAAGGATATTTGAATCCAGAAAGACAAAATATCTAGACAAGGAAAAAGTGATGAGATTGCTCTTTCTTTCAATAAAAGCAGCTATTCAATTGCCTAAGATTGTTCTCAGAATATTAGTGAACTTTGTTAAAAATCTTAAGAAAATGCCTGACACTCTACATACACAGAAAATTACTAAGCAGGTTGCCTTAGTCCTCATCACCAAAGAACTAATTTTGCCATGTGGATTGGTAGTTGATGAGGAGAAAGCTGACAAAGCCCGCTCAGCATCTTCCTCCTGCCTTCGTACCAGTACATGTACCTTAACATTCATTTAAAAAAGATGGAAATTGTTGCTCAGACGCCACACCTTTTCTGCCTGGGATCTTCCTAGGGATGACTTTGTTCTCTTCTTTCATCACATCTCAGGGACCCAAGAAACCTACTCACCATTCTAGATAAGCCTAATGAATGGTGGACTTTAGCAAAAACCTAGACTTGTGTTACACCAGCAGCAACCATGACACAAATGGCAGTGTGTACTTGGGGTACACTGGCCCCTGGGTTCAATCCTCAGCATAAAAAACAAAACAAAAATAAATGGATGAAAGAAAACAAATTCTCACACACATTTACTTTCCTAGCTCACTAGGTAGGCTGCAGATGCGCCGAGAGAGGGCAGAGCCAGGACTGTAGGGAGGGTGGTCTGGCCTCTGATCTTCTCAGGGCTGCTGGGCAAAAGGCCCTCGATGAGCTTCTGGTGGAATTATGCACAATTTCTACTTCTTAAAATTAACCATAAAAACAGAGCTTTATTCTGTAAAATGTGTCTTAGCTCCTGATCCTTTAGTTTTTTGGATACCTTTTATTTAAGGGATCATTCTAATGGAATAAATAGTGCTGCTGATTATTCAAAGATTAGGTTAGTAGCAGTGAAAATATTTTTTTAAAACTTCTAACAAAAAATTTCTCTAAACACCCTGACCAATATGAAGAAAAAGTGTGGGTAGTTCATAAATCTAATATATTATGCAAGGAAAGCAATACATTGAAGTATCAGGTTTTCATTCTTGTACAAGGTGAAATCTTATTGTAGCAAACTTAAAAATTACATCAGTTGCTCCACTGTGGAAAAACTGTCCCTTTTACCAATCAAACAGAAACTTCTTATGACATCTATCCTAGTTGATAAAGTGGTAACAATGTCTTACATTTAGTATTATACAGAAAGATCTGTGATTATAAATTTTTAAAAAATTCCATGATTACAAGCATAGAGAAATAAAAGAAACATTATATTCCTGGTATTTCTCCCAAGTGACATTAAAATGTCTAAAGAAAAGGAAGATTTTGAAAAAAAAAAAAAGGGAACGAAGTTAATTTACATGGCTCAATTGAAACACTGTAAAAACAAGGTCAGGGCTCTAGCTCTGTGGGAAAACACTTGCCTAGCACGTACCAGGCCTTAGATTGACTCCCAACACCACAAACGATAACAACAGAAATCAGACAAAATATCAGCCAGAGACAGACACTTATGCATGCAAAAAAAAAAATTCAAGGCAAAGTATGTCTTACTCTATTAGAAAAATGACAATAGTACAGAGAGCAAGTTTATTTTATTAATGCCCATAGCTGAATGCAGCAAGAGGTACAATAATGCTGGTTACTTTTCTTATAAAAGGATTCTGGCTTTTTATAATAGGTCAAGAGGGGCAAATTAAAAAAAAAATTAAGTTAAATCATTCACTTTGAAATGATTTTAAAAAGAAATGGGATCTAAATTTAACCAACAGATGAAATGCTTAATTTTGGGTTGAAATTAACAATTACAGTCTTCTACATTCCAAATCAAATGCAATTTAGGAAATTCTACTCTGAGGTCTAAGAATAAAATACTCTATTTAGGTCTCACCTTTTTGTTATGTATTTTTAATAAAAAGGGCCACGAAACAACTGAGAAGTACAACTAAATGCAAGACGGTATTTACACACAGTCAGATATATGGGGTAGCAGGCATTAAACTGAACCTGGGATTCAGCGATATAGTAACAGGGCTCTCACTGTAAACAATACTGCTTGGAGGCTCACAGAAAACTGTGATTTTCATCTCACTGATCTCTGGCATTGAAAGTAAATACTGTATTTATGGATGTAATCTGTAGACTCTTAATATAAAAAATGAGCTTTCTCCCACACACAACGTAGCAGAATTTTTTTTGTGTGTTCTTTTAAGCCTTGGGATGTATATTTTCTGATGCATGTGCTTTATTTTAATAGCAGCAATTCAACTTTTTAAAAATGCAGTGCTGAAAAATAACTGGTCCTTAGCATTCTCCCTCAGAACAGCAGGCAGCACACGATTGTACCTCACTTAAACTGTAGCTTGGCATTCTTAAAGGGTGTCATGATTGTCAATATTCTGTAGATCAAGTATGGTTTCTTGACTTTGGAGATAATCAAGGTGGGAAAAGGAAAAAAAAAAGATTTGTTCGTAAAGCTTATGACAGGTTTTTAGGGTCTCATTGCATCTGTCTTTTTTTGTCTAGTGCTGTTATCTTTGTGGAAAATGGACACACCAGGAAAGGGGTATAAAAGATGTTGAGTGTGTAATAGCTGTGCTACTTGAAGCATACAACAGAATGTGGATACATTGAAGCATGCTTGGTAGGAGTCAACAGAAGTCTCTTGCACTTAAGAAAAAGATGCATGAAAATATTTAGGTCTGCTTCTGGCAAGTGGCTTCACTGGCACAACCTAAAATCACGGTACTTTATTGTACCAACGTAATGGCAAAACAAGAGTATCTGTAAAATTCAGTCTTTAAGGAATCCACATTAGGTGTTTAAGATTCCAAGCTCCTTAATAAGTTCTCAGCTACCAAATGCCTACTTCAAAAATACATTTATGTTTCCATTTTCTCCTTTCTTCATTAACATAATGAAATATATCTCTTTCTCTCTGATTTTCAACTCTCACCCTTTCCAGCACCCAGCAGGGTTTCTTCAACCCACAGGCGCTAAAACTTTTGGCTTTCTGATAGTGGAGAGCCAGTGATTGTCTTCTGCTCATCTTCTTTGATTAAACTCCTTATGAAGAACAGCTGATGTAACCATAGTGTCCCTTACCATCGACACACATTCTGGGCACCAAGTTACTGCATCCTTCCCTGCCCTCGTTGGCTCCCTCTGGGCAGTAGAGGTGAGGAGGACTCTCGAACCAAGCTGAGTCACACACGTCCTTCACCACAAATTAAACGGAGTCACACACACTCAAGTCTCAGTGCAATATCAGCTTTTTGGGGAGCAAGGCTTCTCTCCCCTGAAGATGATCATCTGTGCTTGCAAACAGCCCCACACTCCTTCAGGGACGGTGAAACCTGGGATAAGAAACAGAGACTGTGAGTCCGTGTACCCTGTATTTGTGATCTAAATAAGGTAAAGGGACATTCACAAGGAAAGGCAGCAAGAATACTCTTACAAATATTCTGCTGAAACCAAAGATGATCCTTATTCAAAGATACTGGTTACAGTTTCCAGGTTATAGAGCAATCAAGACAAAACACCACTGTGCTTCACATCTCATTCTTACTCACAAAAGGATGTGATACCCAGCCTGTAGCTACGCCAGGAAAACACCAAATAGCCCTTATGTCATTACTGTTAGCCTCTCATCAGTTCCAGCTGCTGAGTCCAAATCAACTTTCTACATCCAAGTTTCCAACGGCTTGCTGGTGGTTGTACCCAGATGTTCCACAGGAACATACTAAGCATGACCACCACTGTGCAAAAGTCGTCTTGTGCACTTTAGCTTGTGTAACAGCATACTTTTAAAAATACTTTTAGTCTAGAAACATCAAATTTGCAATTTATTTATCTCTTTCAGCCTTCATCTCCATTTTATTCCCATGTCTGGCCCTGACTGCCTGGCTCTGGATCATGTGGCATTTCTTATGGGCAGCACTTTGCTGGTCTACTGCTCGCTAGCTAGCAGCCTTCATAGTCTCCATGCAAATTCTAGAACATTCCTGCATTTTGTAGCCCTGTGTTTCTGAACATGCTGTCCCTAAAACTATACTTCTCTCCCTTTGTTTCCTACCTTACCAAGATCACGGTCAAAAGTCATCTTCTTCATAAAGCCTTATTGCATCTGGCTCTTCAGCATATTTCTGTTAATTCCACATTTATGTAACTTTCCTTACGTTTCCCTGTCTTCTGTAACCTAGTGCTCACCTACCTCAGCGTGCTAGTCAATCTCAGCTATCAGTGTGACTGGATTAAGAGACTCCTGAAGAGATGACCTGGTCATGGGTGCAGTACAGGCATCAGTGGGTTAGTCCATTGATGTTCCGAGCTAAACAGTTAGACTGAACCCAGATGTGAGAGGTAGTCACCAGGGGTGTGCCTTCAGAGCATCAAGCTTTCTCTCGTCTGTCCTCCTAAGCCACTAAGCATGAGCACCGCTACTGTTCCATGAGCTTCCACCATGATGCTCCTGCTTTATGCCAGTCAGCCATGGACTGAGCTCTCTGAAACCATGAACCAAATTAAACTTCTCCTGCTTTAGGTTGCAAGTGTCGGGTGTTTTGTCCCAGAGATGGAGAAGCTGATCCTCATACCTGGCAAACTAATCTCCTGATTGATTTCCTTGCCTCAGGCTCTGCCTATCAAATCCATGCTTCAGACTATTATTATGATGAAATATCCACTCCCATGACTCCAGTTCTTTGTTAAAAGAACTATGCTGTTCCTCATTTAAATAATATTTAAATTTCTTGGAGTTCAAGGTTGGCTTTTCAGCATGTGGCCCAGCACACAGTTCAACTGCATCTTCCAGTCATTTGCTCCCAAAGTGCTTCTGTGCTCCTCGTGAGTCTTTCTTCCCATGTCTACTTTCTACAGTGTCACTCTGAGGTCCTTTTTCTCCACCTCTCAAGAAGGCATTGGCGGCACCGTCTTCTGTGCTCCAACAGCCTCTGGTTTGCACCCATTATTGATCACCTCCTCTGGTCTTTGTGCTGGAGGGACTCTGTGACTGGAGCCCGAGAAGCCAGCGGAGAACGCTTCTCCTTCACGTTTATGTCCTCACACAGGCACCATCCGGTGCGTCTGAATAAAAGTGGTGGAGCAGAATCCAAGCAATAAAAAATGAATAAAAGCAGAAGTGATAAAACAAGACTTGCCATAAGTTAATTACTGGAGAAGCTGCCTGATGGATACATGGGACTTCTTATTTCTTTCTGTGTATTTGACTTCTTGGAAGTCAAAATAAAAATAAGATATACCAAGCTTTTCAAAACTTGCAAATCAGGGATAATGTTAACTTAGGAATGTTAATGGAGGGCTGCTCCACTTTGAGTCCAATTCTTAACTCCACCCCTGACCATAATCTTGGGCAGATGTATGATCTCCAGACTGACTCTCTGTATCTCTTTCTTTTTTTCCTGTCTCTGTAGCTCTGTCTCTCTGTCTCTGTCTCTGTCTCTGTCTGTCTGTCTGTCTGTCTGTCTCTTTCTATTCTTTTTTTCTATTTTTTGAGGCAATGTCTCACTACATAGTTGATGGTGGCCTTGAACTTACCATGTAGCCCAGGTTGGCTTTAAACCTGACTTTAAACCCAGGCTGGCAACCATCCTGCCTCAGCCTCTTGAGTGCTGGGATTACCACATCTGGCTCATGCTTTGCATTTGAGACAGAAAGACAGCATCACTAGTGCAGTCACCGAGACCCTTAGCACGTGCACAGCCCCCCAGCGGCAGGCCCTGTGCAGCAGCAGCCACTTCCTCTCTGCATCAGCTCACTTCCTTTGGGGGCAGAATGTCTATTTTCTCCCCTAACAGTGGACTGGAAGCTCCCTCTAGTCCTTTTAATCAGAGGATACCTCTTGCTTTCTCAACAGACTCATTTTCTGGCCGTTTAATCTACCCTACCCTTTCTCCCTCACTCAGCATCCTGTTATTTTTTTTTTCCCCTAGTTAAGTTAGGACTATCTGGAGAGACTGTGCTCCTATCTATTGCCTGCTAAGTTAAGCATCTTATCTTCCAATCTGCCTCTAAAATGTTTTGGTTAGAGGAACTGAAAATGCAGATTAGCTTGAGCTTGTTACTACTCAGTGGTTTGCTTTCATTTTAAACCGCTCCATTTTCCATCCTGAGAAGTTTGCTTATCCACAGAAGGGAAGTTTTGGCTTTAGCTTCAAGCTGGTAGAGCCACGCATAGAGGTGCCACTTGCGAATGACACTGAAGCTTAGGTCTACACTCTGCAGAACTTTCCCAACACACAAATCTGAAGTTACATATATTTTCCTGTTTTTAAAAGCGGTATAGAGAGAGAATGAATAAGGGTGAAGCTACTTTGAAATGATGACATTCCGGTAGGGTAATTATTCCTCTAATGATGGCTCCTCCATAACTTAGTTTTTAAAATTGTATTCATCTTTCTATAAACTCATTAAGATAGTATAATAATCTTATTACCCACAAATATTAAACATTACTTCCCTATTTGATATACATAGAAATCCTGAACAATCGAGTTCCCGTTTTATTATCGTATTTTATTTGTTTTGCAGTACTGGGGACCAAACCAACCCAGGGCTGTGCCCGTGCGAGGCAGGCGAGCGCTCCACCACCACCGCGCTCCGCCCAGCCCTCCTTCTCCCTTTCCTTAAGAGCTTCGCTCCTGCGGCAGGGCAGGGCGCACAGGTCTACATCCATCGAAGGATGCTTTCCTAAACCGCAGCTCGCTGCTCTACCCGCACTGCACCGTGAGCTCTGCGTGCGGGGCTCTCCCTCAGCTCCAGCACTGAGCCAAGCCTGCAGCGCAGGGAGTGAAGAGGAGTTCTGCGACCGCCCGTGCTGACGCAGAGACAGCGCTGTGGGCCTTGGGGTGCCCCTCAGTGCGTTTTGATTCAGGGACAGTTCTGATGACGTCCTGCTTTCATTAGCTACGCTTATGGAGCAGCTGAAAGGCGGTCACTTTAGCTGTAAATTTGCACAGTACGGTGCTGCCTCACGCAGGCGCAGAAAGAGATCATTTCTTTTAAGAACTGTATGTGCGCAGCAACATTACATTAAGAATATTTAGAAAAGAAAACCCTTTTATAAACCATTGAAGAATTTTTGATGTTATTTTTTAATCTTTTTTTCCCCCTAGGCATCGAATTTTAAATACACCACTGTTACATCTCACTCACTCAGGACGCTTGTGTTTCCACTTGACACCACGCCAGTGACCTCTGAGACCCATTGTCATGCTAAGAGCTTTAATTCATTGATTTTTGTGTCTGTGATATAGAAACCCTAATATAACAAGCAAATTATCTATAAGCTATACAAGTACATACACAAGTACATACATGCTCTGAAAATGTTATTTACAAAATTGTCTTTTTAAAAATTTTTTTTGGCGGAACTTGGGCTTGAACTCAGGACCTTGACTTTGCCAGGCAGGTGCTTATGCCACTAAGCTATATTCCTGGCCCAATTTAAAAAATTAAAGGTTTATTTTTTGTAACTATTTTTTTTTTTAAAATTTATTTATCTATTTATTTGGTACAGGGTCTTGCTAGCTCAAACTCCTAGTGATTCTCCTGCCTCAGCCTCCCCAGGGCTGGGATCACAGGTATGCACCACCACACCCAGTTTCAGTGGCCCGCATGGCATGCAGTATAGGGGATCAAAATCAGGTCCTTGTGCTTGCCAGGCAGGTGCTTAAACCACTAAGCTATCTTCCCAGACCAAATGTTTATTTTTTTAAAGTGATATTTCCTCCTAAAGAACAACTGGGATGGGGGAAAGGAGAGAGGAAAGAAAGAAGGAAGTGGGGGATACACACACACACACACACACACACACACACACACGATAGCTAAAATAACTGTACTGCTAATTTCTATTGACTTATTGAAAAGCACAGTTAATGCTTATATGTTTGGTCAATTTTACATGCTTGTACCTGATAATTTGAACAACTATTTGAAGATAACAAAGCAGTATAACGACCACTGTTAATTTCCTCACATCTTGTTTTGAAATTCTGTATCATTTTTATTGTTTTTAAAAATTCTCTTTAAAAGAAAAAAAAATGAAAAAGTTTCCCCTGATTATAAATCTGATACACGGTAACACCTGAAAAAAACTTGGAATTCAAAAATTATCCAAAACATTACTCTTAAACTTATTAATCATTTAAAACTTTAGCTTGCAAGTGAACTTTGATGTTTCATGCAATTTGTCTTTATCATTTAGGAAATCTTTCTTTTTTTAAAAAATGTATTTAGGTCAGGGTCTACAGGGCCACACTACATAGCTCGGATTCATAGTGATCCTCCTGTATTCAGCCTCCCAAGTGCTGGGATTACAGCGGTGCCACCACGC